CTTCCACTTTCGGCCGGATGGATGAGCGGCCAATGAGTTCAGGCGTGTTCGACAACCGTCATCATGCCAACAAGCATAGTGTTTTAATTGATAAAACATTACATAGACAAGTTGGAAGACACCTGCTTGATCTTCCAAACTGAAAAGCCACCAGCAAACAGCTCGCCCAAATATCACCAACTGGACTAGTGAGCTCGATCGGGGCTCAATTCACTTTTTCCACATCACTATGGCGTTCCAACCTCATGTGATCTGTTCCTAACGGGAGTTATACTTACCATACCACTACAAATAGACCACTCTTACTATACGCTTCACCACGTTTTTGAGGGGATTCAAAGAATTCAAGTTTACTGCAGTATTCTACTTCTGCTCGTTGGATTTTACTTTTCGTTTCCGATCGTCGGAAAGTCATTTCTTTGTTTTGGTGGCATAGCTATCTATATGGAAGTGTTTCACTTGAAAACTGGCAATACCTTGATTCTTTTCCATAAATCTGATGAAGTGCGGTTTCAGCCAGTTCTACCTCGTCAACGACAGGAGATTCTTTGAAAGGTGGAGAAGCAGGGAGTGGTGTGTTCAGTGGCATTGGCACCGGTGGTGTCACCGATGGTGTCGATGGTGTCTCAGCCGGTCGATCAGCAGCAATCGCAGCGCTCACAAGAATTATTTGCTCAAAGCGTACAAATGAGAAGCTTCCTAATCAGCAGCTGGCGAGATTCCTTTCAACTGTGCACGAGGCGTTGATTGAGGTATGGATACGGTTTTGACTTTGATTCCATCTTGCTTTCCCCTTTTATTTGCGATTGTTTGAACATGTGATGGTTATTGAAGAGCGTCCTACGCTTTTGCAAATTCTTAGTCATCTTCCTTTTCAGAAAGACCGGCTTGTTCTGTGCTCGTTGTTCTTCTATGGGCAGAATCTGTTCCGGTTAGGCCTTCCTGGTCTCGAGGCAATTTTACCTCATTATTTATTTGCCTTGGATATCATACTCATTGAAAGTAATAAGATCAGGTAAGATTTTGAAGGACTTTCGACATACCTACTTTTGGGTGCATTTGGTTCGTTTTATAGGCTACATCCCTCGATTCCTGAAGTAGAAATGCGTAGAGCATGTCTTCGTGGTCTATCGTCAGTAGTTTGTTGGCCAACGACGTTCGGAATGAGTAAAATACCACGTGAGTTACTGTTTGCTTGATTTTTGGGCCCGTTCCACGACTGCCTAGTAAATGGGATTTTGCGTCCGCAAATGGGAGAGAATTTGGTAACTAGTTGACCAGTAAAGAAGGTATCGGACAAAATACCAGGAATTCGAAGGGTTTGGTGCATTCTGGTCGTGTGGGCGGATACGATCCTAAAACGCACTTCCTTCCTATTGATGGTTTTTCCTCTTCATCGTGCCCCTTCATCGTGCCCCGAAGAAGGTTGGCCAATGAGGAATGGGCTAGTGGTTAGGCTGCCTCCTCCTGTATAATTAACAGACTCTGTCTCTGAAGAGCATATTATCAGTTTCGTTTACTCTTCCCATTACTGTCAAGCTATTTCTTATAATATCTGTTTTTATCTTGTTTCGAACACAAGAGCCTACACCTGTGCGATCATGAAATGAACTTTTGTGGTAGATTTTTTGGCCTTCTCAAACGCCTGTTTGTTCCTATAATACTTGCACTTTTTTCAGAGCTTCCTGAAAGCGCAAATCTCAAATCGTCGGCGGCTACCTACCTGCAGCTACGTTCCAGAGTTTACAAAACTCTAGTTTTCAGTCTGCGAAATGAGACCGATCCTATGAACCTTCCATTTAACGCTGGGTACTTCGATTTCTATAATTGTTTCTTAGTGAACAAATCCTACCCTTCATTTGATTTTCGACTTTTATGGATCTGTCAATGTTTTAATTCTTTCCTACCGTCAATGCATGATTCTTCAGCAATGTGCACAGTGCTGATGGAAGAGAGTTGCTCGTTCGATCTAGGGCTAACCGAAGAACAGACACGTGAGATGGTACGAATGGCTGCGCAGCAACACGGGAATCAAACCCCAGAGAAAGGTTAATTCACGTTGTTTTTTCATTTTCCAACACAAGGAGGAGATTACCCGAGGCTTTTGACTAAGTTTTTCACATTGGTGAATTTGAGCTTCCATTTCTTGATACAGCACTCGCCATTTGTTGAGTTTCTTTTCTATATCCCTGACAATTCAGGACTCTGTGTATCGTTCATACGAGGGCTTGTGTCAGCGATTTGCGATCGGATATGTCGTCCTGAATGGGCTGGTGAACATTCGGTATCGTTGGCTGCTATCGATGTGCTTAATTGCTTGTCACATTTGCATCCGACGGTGCTTTTCAATAACAGTGAGTCTTTTCTGTTCAGATTCCTCATCACATTTTTTAATTACCATTTCACTATTTTTTGCTCCTCTTCGTGTTCAACTCAACGGAAGGGTTTCGTTTCTGGTCAGATCTCGTTTTTACTTTCATTCAGTTTGCACCCATCCACGAAAATTTAGGGCACTAGTGTGCTTGAGCGGGAGAGGCATCTTTATGTGGAGATTCCGACTCACTCAACATTCCGCTTTCCTTGCCCCCTTAGACCGCCTTACTGTTAGGAGGACGATAGGAGGGTTTTTGTAAGCATTCTTCACTTTCCTTTCCGTCTACGTGCGGTCCGCACTGCAGTGTTCCCTAATTACACTAGCGCCAAATTTAGAGAAGGATTTCTTTTTCTATAGAAGAGTGCAAGTAGAGGCGAGCCTCCGTTCCGTACTGAATATTCTATGCTTTTTTCAGAGGACGTTTCGACGGGTTCACTCATTGTGGCGTCATTGTGTCGATTTATAGAAACGCAATTGGACAAGCCGCCTCCCCTTCATTCAAAAGATTTGCATTCCAGTGTATGTTTTCTTTCAACGAGTTCATAATGCCAGTTATCTGTATTAACATCTTGCCGACAGCTTTAGTGCTCTGCAGTACCACACCTTGCGATCGCGTAGCACGGGTCATTGTATCCTCTACTTCTACACCGCTGTTATTTATACGAACTTCCTTTTGATTTTTTTTATACCCTTCTAACTACAGCGGCATGGGCCAGCAATAATGTAAATAGCATAGTGCTCATCTCAGGTTCCCTATTTTCTTCGGAAAGACCTTTGTGGTGAACTATGTGACAATTCATATCGAACGTTGACTTACTTTTAGTCATGTTCATAGTTTCTATTGAGTGCTGGCTTGCTTGTTGACTCCCTAACTGAAGTATGATATGTCAGGTTGTGGCAGCGTATAGTTCCATAGCGGTATGGCTGAATGCTGCACCGATGCTAGCGGAATGTGAGAGCGGCGTTATTGAATACGCGTCGCATGGAAGCAGTGCAGTTGGGTGTCACAGGGATCGAAGAAAAAGGAAGTAAGACCATCGTTGAAATTTGGCTAGATTATTCAATTTTGAAATGAAAATGTCCCACTGAATGTTCAGGGCGCTCCGGATGACTGTAAAGCAGCCAGTAAAAGAGTGCTGGAAGCAGCCGAATACTTGATGTATTCATTATTTTCTGTTGTGGTGAGAAATTTCATTCTGTTTTCTTTCTACGGTTTACTTTATCTTTATCTTATCCTTGTCGCTTTTCTTCCTTTTTTCTCATTTCCTTTTTTTTCTTCGTTTTTCTTTTGAATCATAACGACTCATTTGAAGGGCCGCGCCAGTCAAACTGTCTGCGATGAACGGCGTTTGCTATACACGTACGGTCCTGCAGCAATTGACACGACCAAGTTCCTCCACGTAATTGTCAATGGAGACACACTGCTATCACTGCATGAGGCCTCTCATATCAAGGAACTGGCCGATGGTATGTTCAAAATTTCAACCCTTTAGTAAATTGGTTTTTGTGTATTAGGTTGGCGCATAAGTTTCCCGCCAGGACTTATGCTAGTAATCTGAAAATGAACTGGTTTGGAACCAAAGGCATCATCCTCGTCTACCACACGAATTCGACGCCTAGCTTATCAATTCCCTAATCTTGTGTCAGAGGGGCCGGGTTAAAACTTGAAAAACTCGTTTGGTGCCCCTGACCTCATCCTTCAACTCCTGAATATTTGTTCACGAAGTGACGGGGATACTGAAAAGCATGTTATCGGTTAGGGCGAAGTGGAAGCGTTACCCAGTGGCAGGAGATGAAGACCCACGTCGTACGTGTGGACCATGTTGTGAGAGCGGCTATCAGTTGCCTTCATGACAACACCCACTCCACACCGCGAGAAGAGCCTAGGTGGACTGGAGAAGGATGACTGGCTAGTGATTCTTTCTTTTCCATCTACAGCGTTATACCTCGCCCCACCCGACTGCTGATTAGTGGTCCACCTCCAGCGCTCCCTGAAGTAAGAATTTTCAAAGAAAATGAAAGATGAAGTCGGGGACCACCCAACGGCTGGTTGAGGATCTGGCGTGAGCATTGGCGTCGGCTGTTAGTAGAGAATGGTGCTTAATTCATTTCCCAGGCCGGTCTCTTTCCAAGATAATCATATAACTGTTGGGAACGTAAATTGCGCAAACCTAATACACACCTGTTAGCTCTGTGCAAGTATCACCGAGTACCAAATTCTCTTTGACTTGGCTATTGCAGGCTATAAGGTTTGTGATGAAATGATCGATTCCTTGTCTTTTGTGAATTTTTGCGTTATAATTCCATTTCTTCTTTCCGAATTATATATATTATAGGCAGCAGCGTTAAAGCTTAGCGTTAGCGACACCGTACTTTGAAGGCGTGAAGGTAGTAGGAGTGGAAATGGATCGTGCTCTCAGGAAATTCGATGTTGTAGCTTTTCCCTATGTCGCTTACCCTTGCAAGGGGACTATAAGAGTTTGGGTAAGGCGTCTTTTTTTCATGTGGATGGCTTGGGGTGTAAATTTTTCATTTTCCTTATTTTACCACTTCTTATTGACATTGAATTAATGTAGGCTGTCCATGCGTATTGTATATTCGACGCTCACCGATGCAGCCAGCATCAGCAGGGGTGGCGAAATTACGTCCACATCCAGACGGCTACAGTGCCTGATCAGCAGCCTCCACCTACACCGTTGTCAAGCACCTTTGATACTAGTGAGTGCCTATTTCTTTGCTTCTCGAGAGCTTTTTTGTAGAAAACTGAATATTATGGTTTGTTTATTTAGAGGAATAAGTTGTGGAAATTTACACTAGTGAAGTCTCCTTTTCTGTTTTGCGGTTTCTCTAATGCGTTCTGGGTTGTTCTAGGGTCAACAGTACAGTAGTCAGTACTCAAACTTGTCTTTTTTTTTCGTGGAAAAATGGTTAAATTGTCATTGTGGCCATACTTCACCTTAACTTAAGTTCTAAGAAGTAAAATAGTGCAAATCGAATCAAATTTCAAATATATTTTCTTCGTGATATTTCCCCATGAAATCTGTGTTATTACTTGCGTAGCTCGAAGAAATATTATCCCTTTCTGGAACTTTATCCGAGCACTATGTTGCATTTCTACTGAATCTTTTTCAGTAAAGCCGAATTCCGTTGCTTCTTCGCAAATGGCGAAAGCATCAGATACGCTGTCAGTAGCATCTTCATCCACAGGTGATTTTTGTCTTTCCCAATTTCTATTTTTTTTCCAAAAGTTTTCAAGATAGTATAATGTGAATTCGTTTCTATTACTTGACATGCTGGTAGAATTTTAATGAATTGAATGAAAGTGAATTTTAATTTTTTCTTTTTATATTCTTTTTCTATTCACTATCCATTTATTAGTATATGGCGTAGCGAAACCTTGTAAGCCGCAAAACATGAGCGAATCACCAAGCCCATGGATTATTATTGGAATGCAGCTAGAGATTTTCCCGTTAGCTTCAAAGAACAATTTTTCACTTGCGAACCGCTTCATCAAATCCAAAAGTTTAGCTCTCAGTTTTGATTTTTTTCAGCTGTATCCAATACCTCAGGAAGTTCTACAATTTCCAAGGGGAGCCAAGGGAACAATGCCGCTACTCGATCTGTTGCAACTGGTTCTATTCTCAGCGGTGTGTCTGCAGCCAGCGTAGAATCTTCCCGTACCTTAGCGGTACCGTCGTCTTCTATGTCGGCTGGTAAGGAATTTCTATTGTAGTGTACTTGGCAAAGCTACTTTGATACTTTCACAATAATTTCCGAATTTTGAAGAGGTGCAATCAACGCGGTCTAGTGCGTCAGCTCCACAGATAGCTACATCAGTGTCTAGTGTGAAGATTTCACCGCAAACGTCGCCTTCGGTAAATACCTCGATTGGAGACAAGTTTGAGGTTCCGCCAGAGTTTCAGAAAGTTTCTTGCAAACTGTGAGTCCCTCTACTGTTTCGATGAGTTCTTTATTTTTTCTTCATTTCACTATCTATATTGTCTACAATCAAATATGTATAGTTTTGTATCAATGGCATGTTATCAGAAGGCGCCAGCTTGTTGACAAATCGAGCTTGGGCTGGTTTCGTGCCTGTACCTGCGCTTTGCGCGGGTGTCAAGCTCGTCCTTTACTAACAAGATTTCATGCTGCTCTCGCTTAGTTCAATGGGTTACTTACTGTACGCCTAGAGGTGGAGCAGAACAAGTGGGCTGCTTCTGCACCAAGTCCCGAGGTTAAGATCCTGGATTAAGTTCCACTGAGGCTATCAAGCCTTCCCTTTCTAGAATCGGTGGACTGTTCCTAATTTAATTCGGGGGATGTGAACGTTTACTTCTATATCTCTCCATGGCCCCGCTTTGTATAAGCCAAATGTTAAGTTTCGCGAACATAAGATACTGAATTGGAGGCGAATGCATGGCGCATCCCAAAGAGCGTTGGCCAGTAGCGACCGTTTCATTCTTTTACATGTGTCACTGACACACATTAAAAGAATGAAACAGTTGGTCTATTAGGTGATTATAGCTATATAATAATCATGAGGGATCTCTCTAAAAGTTCGATGTTTAACACGGCATCATAATGTTAAGTTTAAACAGAGTACAATGAATCAATCGCTGCCATTAGATGAAAAAAATGGAAGTCTTTTATTGTTGGTGTGGACGTAAGACAATTGAATTTGAAAAATTTGGAATTCAAAACTGACATATGGAGGCAGAAAGCAGTTGTTTTTCAGCGGAGTGAAAACTCGTGGTTTGTCCAGATTTAAAAGATTCGCGGTCCGTAGAAAGAAAGCTTCAAACCGAGCATTGGCCTGTTTAGAGATTACGTAATATTTTTGTGTTTATTACTTGTTCGTAGTGTCCCGTTTGAGTTATCTTCTGGATTTTATTGGTTCAAAACCTTAAGTATTTTTTGTTAATGTCGAGAAAACGTGTTCTTATGTGGGCATTAAGAAGGGTGCTTTTCAAATGAAATGAATTCGCACTGAGGAAGTGAATTTAGTGACACCACTGTGAAACCTCTGGAGGCAATAAAGGAGACAGATGCGATTGAGGCCGAATTACGGCGAATCGACGTGGAAACTCCTCAGCAGAAGGCGATACGTGAAAGGAATCGGTGGACGTTGATGAGTGAGGAGGATCGACGAGTGAAACCAGCATTGTAAGTGATTGTTTCTTCACAACATGGTCAAGCTATAGTGTGGTAATGTCACTGTTTCTGTTCAGAAGTCCACCGACATGTAAATCGATCCGAATTTTGTTGTACGATATGGGTCTCGTTGATCGGGTGTCGTTTGGCAAGGATATTGTGTGCCTGGATAGTGGTCAAAGGTCGGTGTGTGGTTTCCTTCTCAGAAAGAAAGAATCGTATAAAGGTGTGCATTACAGTTCGGAGTTCTATCGAAGTCTCCACGAAATGGTGGATAGCTGTCCGACTCGTGCTTTGCATACAACCCATATATTCTACGTGAAGGAGGGACAACGATCGGCTGTGGATATATTGGAAAATGCGGTGAGTTTTTTTTTCAGTTTCAACACATCTGTTCACCATTTTTAGTGTCATTTTTATTTCAGGTTCCTTTTTCCTTCTTTTCCTTTCCTTTTTTGTATTCTGATTTACTTTCTGTCCTTTTTACGTTTGGTACGATGTCACCCATAATCATCAAATCCCGGCTAGGTCAACAGAATTTCCTCCATTCTGGGTCGGTTGGCTGGTACCAGACCTGTTTGAGCAAATAAAAACACTAATATGTGAATGGTGGCTCTCAAAAATCATTTTGTGTGGCGCATATTAAAATAGGTTTAAGATCAATACATTGGCCTTTAATTTTTCACTCACAGTCCCAGGTTATGGAGGTGTACCGATGCGGTAAAACACGCACTGTCGTTGCACGCTATGACTGATAAGTGTTGTGTAGGCCATGCATCTTGCATTTTTTAAATGAAAGAGATCCCGTTTTATACTTGACTATTCGATCGAAGGCGCCTTGGGTAGGGCATTTGCTACGATTTGCGCGCTTCAAGACCACTACTTCCGAAAGTAAGACATCGATTGATGATATTGGCAGAATTGCGCGTGTTTTTTTATAGCTGGTATCCTCGACATCATTTATGTTAACGGGCTTAAACAAAAACAAAGACTAGTAAAGCAGCGATCGCCCTAACAGCGTTAAAGAAACGATGCTTTCATACTCTTTGTAAGGCGATAGAACTATTGTACCCGAGAAGAAATGAAAACCATGAAATTGCTCGCAATTGGAAGTATTCTCGCCCATTTGGGTTTCCCTTGATCAAGGTACGATATCAAATGGCGAAATATACCACCCGGGATAATCAAACACCGTGACGTGAACAATACAGCGTGTACCGCAATCGAATTTATTGCGGACTTTTCAGCCTATAGGAATATTTCAGCAGTTTAATTTATCTTGCGGACGGACCTCCGGAGTGAAAGTACCTCGTTCATTTTTATGTGTTTTTTTTATGCTGCCTAATTACCTACCGATGATTGACAAGCGTAATTTACGGCTTTAAAATGAGAGCAAAAAGCACAGGAACTTTGAAAATGCAACTTTTATGGGTAATTTTGGGAGGCTCCTGTGGGGAGAGGTAACTTAGTCAGGATTGACCTTTCACACCTCCTCGCCGTGGTTATCTCGCACCACCCTGTAACCTGCCTCTGGGTAGACCTCGCTTAATTAGGTGTGCTGAGTGCTGACCTCTCTCCAACATATCGCTCTCATGCGCAGTATTGATTATCAAGTCTATCATTACTATATTCACGGAAACAAACAAAAGTTTAATTTATACAAGTTTTTAGCATAGTTAACAAAAAATTCAGATAATACAGACGTATTAGTGACATTTCTCGACATCCTACTGCGAAGTCATTCTATTTCTTCTTGAGATGTGCCGTTTTGGCAACACTTTTTCATAAATATTAGGTTGGCCCATAATTAGTGAATCACTTTGAATTTATTGCTATAAATTCCATGAAAAATCTTGAAGGCGTGAAACATGTTTTGCCAAGTAGTGACCACAATGTTCTACCTAAGCAATCAGTCGGCCCGTTCACACGTTTCTTTCCGAGGCTCAAATTTCAATTTTTCTGAAATCTTCCCCCAAACACGATATGAAATCGCCATGTTCGCTCCTGCTTCCCAGAGTTCTTTTCAGTGATCATCCTGCGCATACTCACCAGTGTTGTGAAGTGGGTGGAGTGTGCTAGCAAATTCACAAGGAGCAGCAGAGTAGCTTGAAAGATTGGAGAGTTCTGACAACAAAAGCCCAACCACCTCTGTCGGACCTGTATGTCTGGCACTTCTGAGATTTTAGTGGGGCACAGAACAGACCTGGCGCTGGGAACCAGAGCCTAGTAATACTAGAGTCAGTGAGTAAGGCATACGTTGACAGCATAATGGCGATGCGTTTTATCTGAGGGTAAAGCAAGACAAAGTCTGGTTTTTTCCTGAGGTCATTCGACCCCACCTTTCGGAAAATCTTCATAAAAAATTGCAGACCTTTGGGCTAGCAGTTCTTCCAGCTCTACCGTGAAGCCCTACCCTCGTATCAGCGAAAGATAACCTAGACTTACTTATACCATTATTCTTCAGGAAGAAATTTTACGCCAAGTGACATGACCTCAAACCTGACTTCCGATCTTCCTTTTATCAAAATCTCCTGGAATTCCAGAGAGGAGACGGCGACCAAATTCCCATGTGTAGGCAATAGTTTGTGGATAACAAAGGTGGATGATTAGATGAGCAAGCACTTCATATGAAAAAGAAAAAAATTGAAATTGAAAAATGCCCAAAGTGATTCACTAATTATGGGACAACCTGATAGCTTGCCTGTAGAAAAGGATCGCTCGTACGAGCGAACGGTTTAATTTCGTAAGGTGAAACTTCAGTTTCGGGGGCCACTCCATTGCTTACTTATACGTAGTACTAGAGAGCATTCACTTGTGCTATTTTGTGCTATCCAACACTATGATAAGATAATAAGTAAACGACCCATTTTAAGCGTACTTTTGGTAAGGCCTGGTGGATGCTCTCCGTTCCACACATCCTGCCCACATCTATCCACTTTTCTACCCAGGTCATCCACCTTGGAGCTCAACCCCCTAGATAGGTAGAGGTGTCCATTATCCTTGTCTAGAACCTTTTCATGGACCATGGCAGGCGAATATGTGAAGAAATCTTGGGACTTCTTCCACATTACAGCGATACTAATCGGAATCTGAATGAGCCGATTACGTGTCATTAGTGCTCTCATCCTTATCTTGAGCATTGGAGAAACAATGGAGTGCCCCCCCCCCAATCTGGAGTTTCTCCTTCCGCACCTGTTCTGCGTGGAAACGGCTCGCTCTGCGAGTGCTGTTAGCTAAAAATTAATTATTTTTGAGACCCATTTTTATCCTTTTTTCTGAGATTTTGTTTCCTCTAACCGCTACTGCATGAATGAATTTATTAGATACCAACATCAATATATCTTCCATAAGTCCGTCTAGCTGGGTCAGCACTGCCCAGATTAAGTGAGGTTCCCATGGGAGGTTACAGGGTGGTGCCGACGAGGAACCACGACGAGGGTTCTGAAAGATCATCCGCTAAGGGCCAGCCTTTTCGTGTGAAATCGTGCGCCACATGGTGCGCGCGCGGTACGCAATGTGTTAATGAAACAGAGCCATGATTGGTGAAGTTGCAGGGAAATGTGCAGAACACCAGAGCAGACTTCTGTGGTTTCTTAGCAGGACTGGGCGAAGGCGTTGAGATTGGAGTACACGATTCATGGACGGGTCACTGGTCTACGGCATACAGTAGTGAAGCGAAGTAGGTTAACTCAACTCATGCTTCTGCTATCTAGCTCTTTACTTTTCCGAAAATGGATTCAAAGTAGCATATTCAATTCATTTGAAGAGCCTTTCGAAGAACCGGATGCAGTTGATCATTACATCGTTGACGGTGTCACACATGCGATATGGTGGGCTGATGCTGGTTCAGAACTCGTATTCGTTTTGCCGACAGAACGAAGTCTACGGGCATTCAAGCAGGATTTGGCATCGCCTGCTGCGAGCTCAAGAAGTGAGTATTTTTCTTCGTGAGTCTAAACTTTTTTCGGTCGAATTTAGTTATGAAAGTTTTTCTGTTAAGGAGGATCAAGCAAGACCCCCTCAGGAATGTCAGTGTCGTCAGATGACATGAAAGGAGATACTCCATTGTATGTTGTAGCTGGATTTTATGTGTTTTCGAAAATTTACGGAGTACTTCAGATCTTCGGACGTATTTCATGAAGGTATACGGAAGAAGGCAAGTAGCTCATTGGGTGGCAGCGAAAGGGACAAAGAAGGACTGTTCTCGTACGGAGGAGGAGGATCCAGCATGGGTTGGTACTTCTTATTTACAGTATTTGTGTACCATCTCCATCATCTCCTTTTTTGACTATTTTTTTGTTCCCGTTTTTATATCTTGCCAGTATAACTTCGACTGCCAATGCAAACCACAAGTCACGAGTTAACCTTATATGTAATCATGAAGAAATAGGTAACTTTGTTTTTGTTATTCATGATGATTTCGTGTTCCTAATTAATCTCCAGCGCTTGTCACACTTTGTAGAGCTTTTCCGGTGAGCACACATCAATTTTCCCGATTAAATGCTTTATCGGGACGATGGCAATCTGACTCGAAGTCCTCGGGCAGGGATCAGGAGCAGCGCACCTTTTGCGCATTTTCTTTCAAGGTAAAGGTTTTCGTAACCAATGCCAATGTATAAGTTGAAACGTAGGAACCTAAGTATGATTTACCTACGTCAAACCTATTCCATAACTGAGGCTTCGATTTTTGTACGTCATCTTTCTTTCCAGCTATTACTTCGGTTGTCATTAACCTTTTAGGTAAAGGATCGTGTTAGGTTAATTGAACGTTCTATGAAATTGGCTTTCTGACGTTTGGTATTTCCAAAGGCAACAGTTTAGTAGAGCTCTTCAAAGATATTCCTATTCAGGTAATGCTCCACCATCGCGACGCAGTGCAGATCTTCGAGTAATGTTGGTGTGGCTGGAACGTGCCGAGGACATGCTGCACTTCCCTGTTGGTAGGTAACTCGAAAATTCCGGTCGCTTTCACGTCTTGTTCTCATTAAACTTTATTTTCTGGCCATTTTTTCACCTCTATAAGGTGAATTTCTGTTTTTCAATATTCCTTTCCACTCTTTATTTCCTTTCTCGTTTCGATTAAATTTGAATTGCTTCTAAATAGTTTTCATTGTATAGATCTAACTGTTCCACAATTTACGATTACTTCGTTCTTTCTTTGGATCGACTTTCGAAAGTGCAAAAACATAGGCTCCCTTTGGTTTTTCATGCTCCTTATCAGGCGATTATCTTCCTTCGAAAGAGGCCATGCTGTTGTGGTGTTTTCATGCTACTTTTATGTAATGAGTTTTTCGTTAGATTGCTCTATTTCCAAATTTCAAATCTTGAGCCTATCCAGTTCGATCAGTTTTGTCAGGGGCACTGTTCAAAAACTTCCTGGTATACAACTCCTATTGACAATTGGAACTTTATTGGATGCTAATTTGATAGCGCAGGGTTGAACTTGAGTGATCCAGTCTTCCTAAAGGAGCTCGTTGCTGCTCCACGGCTGGCAGTGGCTTTACAGGAGAGATCATTTACCTGTTCACTTTTATTGAAACTTACAACACACTTCAATCTTTTGGAAGTAGCTCTAATCTTAACCTGCTTTTTTGAGTTTCTGCTCAGTTTTTATTATGGCTCTCCTTCGCATTTCATTGGAAAGAGCTGTAGGCAAAGTTTTGGGTGAACCTTCACGACTAACATCTTGATAGCCTCTGTTGCGAGGGTTCCAATGGTTCAGTAGATAATATGGGTGCTATCCTAAAAAATCGTAACAGTGAAAGCACATTTTGCGTCAGCTCACAAACATTTTTCTCCTTTCCCTTTTATTTTGTTAAATTTTATCAACAGTTACGATGAATTTGTCTTTCAGATGAGCTCTTGAGTGCATGTGACGACGGAGGTGAGCGAGTCTCGAATGCAGCAAATGAACGCCCGGCTCATTTGGCAATCTTTATTCATCAAGTAGAACCAGGCTTGGTGCATATTCGGACGAGAGGATCAGCGAATAGGTATTGGGTTTTTTTTTACTTCTGGGTTTTTTTGCTACTATGTTATTGTAATGAATTCGTTGTTGTAGTTGAACTGATATTTCTACTACCCGACAAAAACGTTCGGAAAAATAGAATTTTTAATGTTGCAGAATTGTTTTAGAATTAGGTTCGTTCTCAATTGTAGGAGAGTGGGTTCACTAATTTCGAAGGGGAGCTAAATACGCTATACTGATTCTTCAAAAATTTCGGACGAGATTATTGGTGTGGCCCTTCTTGATCACCTGTGTGCTCCTACATATTTATTTGATTCATCTTCGATTTTAGTTTATGTTCTTTCATAGTAATCGAAAATATCTTTGGTTTAAGATTCGGTGAGCCTGGACCATTGTGCGATTCTATGGTTGTTTCGTTGGGATCGCTTCCGTCTCTGATTCGACTAACTGTCTTGAATATTGTGAGGCGTAATGTAGCAGAAATTGACAAGTAGGTTCATTCATTTTTATCGTGCTTTCGGCATTTTGATCATACATTCAGTTATTTTTGAAAGTTCTCTTT